AAGCCTTTTACATACCATTTCGGGCACGACGACCCATAATACTGCCAAGAAATCATTTGTTTTCATCTTTAATTATGCAACACTTTCACAACAAGTACAGGGTGCGCCATCTTTTATGTCGGTATGTAAATATTGAATAACTTTGTCATTAGTGAAGCGATTGACTTGAGTAGTCCAATGTTGAAAACCTCAGTTCAAGAATATGTACAGAACCAAATTAAATAAAAATATCTCATACTTGAAAATCGGTTGTTTATTTTCAAAGATATTCAAAGATTACATACCGACATAAAAGATGGCGCACCCTGTACAATCATCTGAACATTGCTGTCATAATAAATGAATGCCGCCAAAAATATTGGATACCGGTTGCTCGAGTTCAGAAGACATGCAATAGATGCATTATTGATCGAAGTCAACCACGTCAACCGCGAATGGGTCAACACCCAATTGACCGATTAACGCCTTATGTACGCCCATTTTCATTCTGTGGTGTAGACCTGTTTTGGCCCATAAATGTCACAATTGGACGTCGATGTGAAAAAAAGCAATTAGCTACAACTACAGACAAACTGAAATTTTCAAAACTCTTCTTAGTACTTGCGTCCAAATTTGAGCACGAAGCTTTCACCTTTAATGCTGTACTTTGACTGGGTGGTAATTGCAGTATCCAATTTATGTACATATCAGAGAACTGCAATGAGTACTACATTTTCGGTCATACTCGAGTATTTACCCATACTCGGTATGATTATTTCATTTGGGTATAGTGACAAGCAATGACTGGTTGCGAATGAGCCCTCTACGAACACTAAGTTCGAATAAAAACTGCAAAAACTCAGAAGTGAGCGGTTGTGACCGAAACTTCTTGCATGAATGCAAGCAATGATTGGTTCACCAACCAGTCAGTTCGACTCACAACTGCAAAAACTCAGAAGTGAGCGGTTGTGACCGAAACTTCTTGCATGAATGCAGGCAATGACCGGTTGTGAACGAACGCTCACCAACCAGTCAGTTCGACTCACAACTGCAAAGACTCAGAATTAGCGGCGGTGACTTTTTGACACCGAAATGATCAATGATATCGGCGCGTGCACGTGCACTTGCATTTTCTATTGTTTTTTCGGCTATTAGTTCAATAATAACTTTATACAAGGTGTGTTCCAAAGCAAACAGGACTTTAAAAAACAGAACAAATGGATTTTTTCGGCAAAATCAATTTATTTTATTCAAAATATTCTCCTTCTGCTTTAATACAGTGTTTTAGCTCGTTGGTCGGTATGGCCGCCAGTATGCCGGTGCAAGCCTTTTGAATGGCCTCTGCGTCTGCATAACGCTTTCCTTTCATGGGCAAAGGCATTTTTCCGAAAAGGTAGAAGTCGCACGGTGCCATATCAGGTGAATACGGCGAGTGGTTAATGGTTAAAATGTGATTTTTGGTCAAATAATCGGTCACAAGCGTCGATCGATTCTGAGCAATTTTTGGTCGTCAGTCAATTTGTGCGGAACAAACCGTGCCAACACCTTTCGTAAGCCCCAAATGTTCGGTCAAAATGCGATAAGAGATGTTCAATTCCATTTCCATAAATTTCAATGATGATTTCGGCTGATTTTTGATGAATTCACGCACAGTTTCGATGGAATTTTCGGTGATCACGAATATTGATTGGTCCACATGTTGATCGTCATTTATGTAGGCAATCATCGCCATAAACTTGTTCCATCAATTGAAACGTTTCGGTAAAAGTTTTACCAATTTTAAAACAAAATTATATGTTGGCTCTTTGTTCGAAGCTCATTTTCGCACCGATAACACAAACATACTGACACTTAAAACGCAATAATTTCACTTCCAATCGATGAAATGTCATGAAATTCTCACTGGACAATCGATAAAGACAGCAGATTCTAACGCACCAGACATATAGATAGCGCCACCAGGGGGCACTAGGTTCAAAAAGTCTTGTTTATTTTGGAACACCCCTTGTATACAAGTATATGCATAAAAATTAAAGAATCCAACAAAAGTATTAGCGAAAAGAAATAGCTTCCTTTAAATTTAAAAAAGTTATGCTATTTTAATTTATATCAATTTGTTTATTTTAAGATATTTGAGTTCTTTTTTTTAGAAATAAAATCATGCTAAATATCATAATATAAAAATAAATATATGTGTGTATACATACATATGTTTTGTTCTCTTTATTTAAAATACGTACATACATTGCAAACAACACATGCACGCACAAATACATAAACATGAACATACATGCATTTTTTATAGTCATCTTAAACGAAGTGACCGAGCCTGAACTGTTGGAAAGCAAACCAATCAACACTGGTATCCGTTCGCAACTAATAGAATACTCGAAGTGACCGAGCCTGAACTGTTTGAAAGCAAACCAATCAAGACCGGTGCTTGTTCGTAAAAATAGAAAGATTGCTCATTCAAGTTCGATCATAAGAAAAATGCTGAGAGTACTCAACTCGTTCGAGCTCGTTTGCAGCCAAGCAAAGATCTGATTTGATTGCATTTTCAGCAAGGGTGGTCGAACTTACCCGAACATACTCGTTGCAGTTCTCTGGTACATATGTATGTATATATAGATTCGTTAAACATGAGCTTACAATTATTAAATGTACTAAAATCAGATTAAATATTAACAAGTAAAAAAGCTAAAGTCGGGTGTCCCGACTTTGAAATACTCTGTACATATGTTTAGAATAATTATAGAAATTAAAAAAAGTAAGAGAATTAAAAAACAAGATAGAACGCTACAGTCGAGCAAGCCCGACAGTAAAATAGCCTGTACTCTCCTCAAAAAAAAAAAACAAAAACAAAAAAAAATTATTATAAAAAAGAATGAATTAATTATTTAATTAAATTAAATTAGAATACATGTTTATGTTCAGTTTTAACAGCATACATTTACATCATGTACCTATGCGTGTTTATATGCGTGTATGTATGCAGCACAAAGTTGAACCAAAGCAGCAACATCAACAACAGCTGCCGGCAGCGCATGAGCAGCGATTTTACTTATGGCTATAACTTTCTTCAGAATTGACCTATCATGATGAAACTTGGCACACTGACACATAAGCCTTAACTGGATGTAACTACCAAAATTAATTTCAAAACTCCAAGAATTACGGAATTCATAAACAAAAACACGAATTGCGCGGGAGTGGGGTGCGTGGGGTGGTGTATCAAAATTAAAAAACAAACGACCTGCCTAGGGCTTAGGGGAACCTGGATGCAAATTTTGGTAATTCTACCTCTTGTACTTACTGAGATCCTTGCGCTCATACAGACAGACGGACAGACGGACGGACGGACGGACATGGGTATTCGACTCGGCTTGTCACCCTGATCAAGAATATATATACTTTGTGGGGTCTGTCATGCCTCCTTCTGTGTGTTACATATATGCGCATAAAACTAGTATAGCCTTTCACCCTTTGGGTACAGGCTATAAAAACAAGATAGAACGCTACAGTTGAGCAGGCCCGACAGTAAAATAGCCTGTACTCTCCACAAAAAAGAAAAATTAAGAAAAAAAAAAATTTAAAAATTAAATTTAAAAAAAATTGAAATAATTTATTAATTTAATTAAGAAAATTTATTTAATACATACATAGAAGACATATTTATGTACAGTTTTACATTTACATCACGTATCTATGCTTGTTTATATACGTGTATGTATGTAGCACAAAGTTGAACCAAAGAAGCAACAACAATAACAGCTGCGGGCAGCGCTGCAAGCAGAGCATGAGCAGCGATTTTATTTATGGCTATAACTTTATTCAGAATTGACTTATCATGATGAAACTTGGCACACGGACACATAAGCACTAACGGGATGTAACTACCAAAATTAATTTCAAAACTCCAAGAATTACGGAATTCATAAACAAAAACACGAATTGCGTGGGAGTGGGGTGCGTGGGGTGGTGTATCAGAATAAAAAAAAACTTGACCTGCCTAAGGCTTAGGGGAACATCGATACCAAGTTTGGTTATTCAAGCTCTTGTACTTCCTGAGATCATTGCGCTCATACAGACAGACGGACGGACATGGCTATATCGACTTGTCTTGTCATCCTGATCAATAATATATATACTTTGTGTGGTCTGCCACGCCTCCTTCTGTGTGTTACATACAGCGCACAAAACTAGTATAGCCTTTCACCCTTTGGGTACAGGCTATAAAAATTTCGATCAATTTTACCTCTTTTGGTATTCGAACTCCCGTAAAGGGTGTATAATTGCACATATACAAAGCAATTGCGTCTATGAGAGTGTATGTATGTAAATGCTCGTATATTCGTGTCTGTGTAAGCATGTTCGCAGTCAACCAAAGCACCAGCATCAACAACAGCCGCGGGCTATAACTTCTTTTTAAATCGGTCTATCATGATGAAACTTGGCACACGGACACATAATTACTAACTGGGGGTATTTGCAAAGTGAGGGTATTTGAGTTCGAAATTCCAAGAATTACGGGAGTTAGAGAAAATTGCGATTTGCATTAGAGAGGGGGAGAGAGGGAAATTCCAAAATACCCATTTTCTGCGTATTCACATAAGGCATCTTGGACTAAAATTTGGTGTTCCTAGGTCTTATAGTCTCCGAGATATAGGATAATGGAAAATCGGGTAAACACCCATAGGGGGGAAAATCAAAAAAATAATAAAAACTTGCACAGGGTACATAACGCATCTTTGTGCAAAGTTTGGTGTCTCTACCTCTTATAGTCTCTGAGATCCAGGTGTTCATACGGACTGACGGACAGACAGACAGGGCTAGATCGACTTGTCTCGTCATGCTGATCAAGAATATATATACTTTGTGGGGTCTGCCACGCCTCCTTCTGGCTGTTACATTTTCAGCTTCCGCAAACTTAATATACTCTTGTACATTTTATGTACAGAGTATAAAAATGAATCTTACTAACCAATTTTTTCTTTATTTTATTCTCTATTTTCATATATAAGATGGATAATGTCGAGATACGAAAAAGAAAAGGGTCGCTTCATTTTATACGCTTTCAAACAACAGACATGGGAAACTTTCTTTCTTTAGCAAAACAAAAGGGTATGGCCGAGTTAGTAACGACAGTTTGCGCAACAGGTGGAGGCGCTTTCAAATTTGAAAAAGATTTTCGTGATCAAGTAAATATGAAATTAGCAAAGTTTGACGAACTTGATACGCTAATCAAAGGAATATTGTTTGCTGACTTGCAAAATCGAACCGAATGTTACTTCTATGAAAACGCAAGTAATATTGTGTAAGTACAATGCTTAAAATAAGGCCGAGACGTAAAACTAATAATTTCAAATCATTGATTAGTAAGAGTGTAAAACGGGCATTTAACTTCTCGGAACCATTTCCATTCATTTTGGTAAATGTCGGCTCAGGAGTATCTATTTTGGCTGTATATGGCCCCGATAATTACAAACGTATATCGGGCACAAGGTAAGTAAGTTTTACATTTTGATCGATTTAGCCCTGTCAACTCCAATACTTTTCTTGAAAAGTTTGGGGGGTGGAACATTTTTAGGATTGTGTTGTCTACTCACCGGCTGCACAACATTTGAAGAGGCAATTCAGTTGGCTACAAAAGGAGACAACAGAAAGGTGGACAAATTAGTGAAGGACATTTATGGTGGGGACTACAACCGTTTCGGTTTGCCCGGCGACTTGGTTGCATCCAGGTAAATTTTTATCTAAATGTTCTTCATGACTTATTTATACAAAAGATAATTTCGCAGTTTTGGACAGATGCACATTACCGAGAAACGACTCACTGTATCACGAGAGGATTTAGCTAATGCCACGTTGGTTACGATAACAAATAACATTGGATCTATAGCACGTATGTGTGCGCTCAATGAAAGAATTGATAAGGTAGATAAGACCAATTCTTATTATTGAATTCAATTAATATAACATATCGACTTTTTAAGGTTGTATTTGTGGGAAATTTCCTACGCGTAAATCCTATTTCCATGAAATTGCTAGCATACGCAATGGAATTCTGGTCAAATGGCACAATGAAAGGTTTATTCTTGGAGCATGAAGGTTACTTTGGTGCTCTCGGGTGTCTGTTGCAGTTTAACGGCGAATTAGCTGCGGCTCTAAATGATGGTCTTGACCATGTACAAAGCGAAAACCACAATCTGATTGAATCTATGAGCGATTCAGCATCGAAAAAGCCATCGGGCGACCTGTCACATTCTCCTGAAACTGAAAGCTCAACTAGCTAGTCTAGGGTGCAAAATAAATTATAAACGCTATAGGCAAGTGTAAGTATGAAAAAATTTGTCAGTATAATCAGTCTTATCATGTATCAATTCTTTGATCTTCTTTGAAATCTTCGTCTTGGCAGTTTTATAAATGTGAATGATATAACTTAATAACATTTCTAAAAATTTCCTTCAGTACAATATTGGTCGTTTCAGGTCGGTGCGGACTAGTGTACGTACTTCTACAATTTCAATCATTTTTATTTTGATTTACATAGTATATATGTATCTTACGTGATATCATAGTTGAGAATTCTGTTGAAAATTATTTAATCAGTAATGAATATTTTTTATTTTTGTTGTAAATCTGCAATAGTTATGCAAGAATTGTAAACCCCATGTCAATTTTTATTTTACTTTGCTTAAAGTTTAAGACATTGCGTACTGTTTAATTTTAGGCTAATAAATATGCAACTATTTTGAAAAGTGTTTGTGGGCTCCAAGGCAATTTAATAAAAATAAATATACTACAAAATGTTAAATCGTTAAATTTTATTTGTATGTAGTTGAAGTGTATATGTTGCTGTAATCTCTTTGAATCCCACAGGCAACTTTAAAATCAAAGACACGCAAATTGTGATCCGTCGCCACAAACAAATACCTGTTATCACAGGTAAGGCTATAGACTGGTGAGCTACTGTTGTGAAGTCGAGTGCGACTGGGAAAGTACAACTGCACATATTTTCCAGGCACACGAATGTCATACAAATTAACGCGGCTATGATGTTTTGCGCCGCATAATACCCCGTACAATCCATCATATTCAAGGCAATAAAGTGATGAGTCAAAAGGATCCTCCCATATACCTACATCTCGATCAAGGCGTAGGTCGTACATGCGGAATGTGGTGTCGAAATTTGCTGTAAAAATTACGTTCTCATCCTTTACTTTAAGATCGTACACAGAAATTGTATTTGAGTTAAGAATATAATCTTTTCCGCTGCAATAATAAATAACTGTATTAAATTATCTAGTACTAGAAGTATCTTTCCTTCTTAAACTTACCTTACAACATTTATGGCACGCACCGCTCTGCGATTGATGTCTGTATAAAGGCCGCCATAAAGCCAATGGCCATCGTTACTTAATTTAAGAGACTTAAATCCATGTTGAAATTTCATAATTAATTCGAAATTAGACATTTCTAGTTCCACAGTACGATGCCAGAGCTTACAACATTTGTCGCTGCCCGTCACAAACAAATCATCCTTTTCTGCAAAGTCCACGCAATATAAATATTCGAGAGCTTGGTGCATTTTGTGTTCTTCTCCTTTGTCAATGCAACCATTGATATCTGAACATATGAAACAAGACCCACATACGCGTCCTGCGAAGATAGTGTTATGTTTCTTTACAAAGTCGGTAATGTCGCTTGCTGTTTTAGTGGTTATTTCATTATCATAGCGATGATGCAATGCTTCAGTGCCCGACCGTCGATATTTTCGTAAGTGGTTGGCGTAGGTGATATATAAAAATTTGCTTTCCAGATAGAGCTTAGCAGGAAACATTTGTTTATGGTGGAAATAATGACATTCAATGTAGGTGCCGTTCATCCAGTTACGTGCCACTCGTAACCGCTCCCAGTATCTCAAGCCAATGTGATTTCTGAAATGTAAATATGAGTACGTATGTAAATATTTACATGTATATTTATATACATTAAATTACCTTTGTACGGCGGCGGAATTAAAATTTCGGTGACCACACAGCAACAAATCTTTAGTCAAATTAGAAAAAATATGGAAATCGATTACATCACGAAGGAAATTATTAGCCTGACACAGATTTATAAGGTCTTCTTCAGCACAGTAGCTGAAAATGGCCAGCAGGCAATCCATGTTAACATCGACCAGCTTCATGCTTCAGGTATTATCACTCTAGAAAGGAACATATGTTTGCATCCAGGGTTATCTGCTTCCCTTTGAAGTACATATCAGCGTATCCCACATTTTATTTACAATAGGTAAATAAAGAATAGCCTACAATTTGTAATCGAGAACACCTAATAGCGATGTGGAGTAGAATTGCAAAAAGAATCGATTTAATCGATGCTTGCCATTTTTGTTAAAAAACCATTTGTTTTGGGAGTAGCGATTAATTGTATAAAGAAAAATGCATACATCACTTAAAAGAAGGGCTGCCAATTTCGCTTTTTTACCCGTCAAATCTGGCCGTTTTGTAAGGCCTGTTGCGGAAAAAATTGGGAATTGCGAGAATTCTGGATATTTTAGAAATGTGCGACTTTTTTCACGCTTTTTTTAAGTTTTGTCACATAAACACTGTAAAGAACTAACGGTTGTTTTTTATCGATATTTGCAAATACCCCCACTAGCTTAAAGCAAATTATAATCTCAATACCAATAGTGCGCGCCAATAGTTAAATGTACAAGAGTATATTAAGTTTGCGCGAGCTGACAAATGTAACAGGCAGAAAGGAGGCGTGGCAGACCCCACAAAGTATGTGTAAATTAAGCAAGTTCGCTGTTAAGCGAATTGGTGGGGTGCGCGGTGTAACACTATTTCGGAAGTTTTACACTGATTCGCTGTTGAGCGAATTTATAAGATGCGCGGTGTCGCACAAATGAGTAGACTTTTTAATTAATGCTTTCACGTGGCGATGACCGACGCGGTTTATTTCCAAAAATCAACTAACTCTACGTACAGAAAAGTTCTTAAAATGAAAGCTAGCCCTGTGACCCATATTTGCTGGTATTGTACTTTCTTCAAGTGCAAGTGAGGGTGAGTGCCCTGTAGTCGCTGACACGCGACTATGCTACTGTGCGTGTGCACGAGCCGTACGCTTAGATTGATGACCATGCCCAAAATCGTTCTTATTCTGCATGATCGAGCGGTCACTGACTTATGATCGGCCGGATGTGTTAACTCCTCCCTCGCTAAGTTGAAGGCCGTCCTCGGTTTTCCTCAGACTCTCGATAACAATCTGCAGGGAAGATTGGCGGCTAGCCCTTCTCCGTTTCTGGTACAGCTTCAAAAGAAGGACTCCAATAGCTATGATGAAAAGAATGGATGCGCTGAACATCGCCGGTCTTGTTGTCAGCTTATCCTCTATGTCACCAATGTACCGCAGATTTTCAATGTTTAACCCTTGCAGATATGGCAGGCTCAAAATTTCTTGGTGACCAGTGATATTCAGGAATGCCGATGCTGCTGAGGCCGGGTGTCTTCGGACGATATTCTTCCTGTTTCTGAACAAAGACCCGTTAATCCAGACTTCTTCATCGAATGTCAGCAGGAACGTACCATGGGTACGTTTCTCTGTACTATTGTCAAGTAGCTTCCATTAAATCTGTTATTGTAATAATAGTAGAGTGCTCATTTAACATTTTCTCTAAATCTTTAGAATCAAGAATAGCGGGGTTAATAATTTGGATCTTAGCAAGTGTAACAGGCAGCATTAATGTCTCAAGTTCCGAAATTAAAATTCTATCCCTTGCGAGTAATGTTTCGTAGAGGTGGCCAGTTTCGATTTGTTTTTTCTTCGTATCCCTGACAATCAGATTTACAGTTTTAGTTAATTTATGTATTTTTTATTGTACTCGAGTGTTAATACCTACCTGTCTGTTTATCGATTCAACTAAACTTTGTTGATTGTACTTTATTTTCTTGAAATCGTCGAAATCGTGGGTCCCAGCAACTATCTTCCGAGCTGTTCCCAGAATATTTATACTTCTTGTGTCTATGATGAATGTTAACAGTTTCTAAAAGTGTTTTTATATGACTTGTTATGTCCGCCTTTGCCAGTGCATCCCCTGTCGTTACGCCGGCTAGCCATCGGCTCAGGGTCAGATTCGACCGCGACAGGGGTGCGGCAGACCAACAATGAATTTATATTTTTTTTCAAACACACCTACTCATATTGTCGGCTGGGGGACGCCTGTGGAATTTGGGTGGAGTTGTGGCTACTTTGGTGTTATGTAGCCGCGTGGCCCTCCCTACCTTGAGCCGGTTTTGGCATTTTGTTGCCGGCTCCCTTTAACATGCTTGCTGTTGGCGTGGGGCGTTGGGGGTGAAAGTCCAAAAACCGCAAGGGAAGTAAAATGGCGTCTGCTTTCCTTTTCACTGTGACGTGACTCGCACGTATATATATATTCTTCACTTGTATGACAATTTGAAACTAAACTTAACCTAATTGCAGTGGCGCTTAGCTGCCCATATGAAAGAGGGAGAGGCCGCCGACGCTAGCAGCGCTCTGCCAGCAGATGTTGCTGGCAAGCGTTGCCATGTCAACACTGGCAGAGTGCTGCCACATCAACATTCTCCCCCCCCTGCAGGATGCGGGAAGACTTCAGTGGCACGCGCCAGAAATGACCCAGCCCAGCTGGGTCTGTTGAGCCGCCGGGAAGCCGTCGCTGGCAGGTACTATCCCTGGCATGAGAAGCTCCTGATACAAACTAGCGCCCAGTACGATGAAAATGGAGGCTGGCGTGCACCAGTCGTCGTCGGCCAGCCGCACGTTCCCGTAGCGCTCAGGCGACGGTCTGTCGACGGTCCGAACGGGGAGCCTATAGCGAAGCTCCGGGGCCACCTCGAGCGTTACCTCGCGGCGCCAGCTAGTCGTCCTGGATGCCACGGTCACCAGGCACACCTCGACTCCCTCGGTGATCTGACTGCGGATACCCAGGGCCCTAGCCCAGGACCTGTCAATAGCGCTCGTCGGTGCGCAGACGTTGAGCACGGCCTTCACGGTCCAACGCTTGCTGCCGCCGGACAGGTATATGGACGCTGTGGGCGCGATCGCAGTGCCCCACATGCTCTCCCTGTTGAGAGCCAGTGACTCGGGGCCTGCTGAATTGGAGAGGGGCGAGCGGGAGTTGCTCGGTGTACGGGAGCGGCGTGGCGTGCGGGATTGGCTCCGCGCGCGCCCGTGGCTAAGGGAATGGAAGCGGCGTGGCGAGCGGATGCGGCTCGGTGAGCGGGAGCGGCTTGGCGTGAGGCTGCGGCCAGGTGAGCGGGAGCGGCTCAGCGTGAGGCTGCGGCCAGGCGAACGGATGGGGCGTGGCGAGTTGGCGCGTGGCGAGTTGGCGCGCCGGCGTGGTCGGTTCCGACGGTGCGGACGGGAGCGCCGCCCTGAACGCGTGTGATGCGCCGCAGAGTGCAGCATTGTGTGATGCGGCTGCCCGCACTCTTGGCAGCGGGCCCCACTTCGGCAAGTACCGCCCGAATGTTCATGTGCCAGGCAGTTCAAGCAGTACTGGTTGATGAGCACCGCCCGTGCTCGCTTAATCGCGGGCAGCGCCAGGAACCGCGGGCACTGGCGGAGTGGGTGCACACCGCGGCACAGCCGGCATCGGTAGGAGCTCAACCCTGGTGGCGTCGTTGCGGTGGGAGCCTTCACTGGACGGCGAGACGGCATAGCGACGGGCCTAGAAAAGAGATGGTAGGGGGAGTTAGCGGTTGCGGTAGTTGGAGAGAGGTGAGGCACGTGGTTAGTAGCGCTAATTGGAAAGAGTGGGCAGGAGAACCAGCTTAGCGACTGGCCGTCGGACGACGCCACGAGCAGTGCGGATGTCAACCACTCGCACCTTGGCGTCGTGGCCGGGATAAGCGGTCTGGACCCTTCCGAGGCGCCATTCGTTGGTCGGAACATTTTCCTCCATGATGATGACCATGGCGCCTGGCTGCAGGTCCTCCTGTGGCTGCTGCCATTTATTGCGCTTGTGCAGCTCCTTTAGATATTCCTCCTTCCATCGGAGGCAGAACTGCTGGCTGAGCGCTTTGAGCCGCCGCCACCGGTTCATGATCGAACCTGCCTCCTGCTCTATCTCCGGTTCGGCCAAAGAGAGGAGGGGGCCACCGGTCAGGAAGTGGCCTGGAGTTAGCGCCAGCAAATCCGTGGCGTCCTCGGACATAGGGGAGATCGGGCGCGAGTTGAGGACCGCCTCAATCCTACACAGAAGAGTGGACAGCTCCTCAAAGGTGTACTTATAGGTGGATGCCGCCTTGTAAAAGAGCGCCTTAAAACTCTTAACACCTGCCTCCCAAAGGCCACCCATATGAGGTGCGCCGGGCGGGATGAAAGACCAGGAAAGGATCTGGGTCCCATAGGAGGCAGTGACCTGGGCTCTGGTAGCCTCTAGGAAGTCGCGCTCAAGTGCCCTAGACGCCCCGACGAACGTCTTGCCGTTGTCGGAGTGGATCCGTTTAGGGCATCGGCGTCGCGCTACGAAACGCGCGAAAGCGGCCAGGAACTTCTCCGTAGTGAGATCGGATGTGGCCTCCAAATGGATTGCTTTCGTGCAGAAGCAGACGAATACGCACACGTAGCCCTTGGTAATTAGGCACGCCCGTCCGGTATAATTCTTCACCTCGAACGGCCCCGCAAAGTCGATGCCGGTGTGGGTGAAGGGCGGAGAAAAGGTGCTTCGTGGCGCAGGAAGGCTTCCCATCAGCTGGTTCTGCAGCCGCTTTTTAAAGATGACGCAGACCCTGCAGGAGTTTACGGTGGCCTTGACTAGATTCCGGAGCTTGGGAATCCAGTACTTGGACCGCACGAGGCTTACCGTTAGCTGGTTCCCGCTATGGAGCGATATTCGATGCGTAAAACTCACGAGGAGCCGCGAGAACTTGCAGCTGTACGGCAGGATGATGGGGTGGCGCTCGTCGTACTTTAACGAGGCCGAGGCGGAAAGCCGACCGCAGGAACGGATGATTCCCTGCTGGTCCATGAATGGGTTTAGGTTGATGATCGTGCTGCCGGATGCCACCTTCTGGCCGCCGGACAGGGCACGGTACTCTTGGTAGTACTCGGTCCGCTGGGTGCAGACCACCAGTCTACGATGGGCCGCCATCAGCTCCGGATGGGTGACCTCCTTGGACAGCGGAGCGGGAAGCTTCTGGCAGCGCAGCACAAAACGTTGGACATACGCCATCACCCTGAGCGCTCTCCCAAAGTCGGAGAAACGCTCGAGGAAATCGGGAGCTTTGGGCAATGTCGCGAGATGGGTCCGGATAGGACGCTGCTCGAGGGTGGCCTCC